TCTTATCTACTATCTAGTTAGTGAATAACCCTCACCCTCCCTCCCCACCCCGTAACCATCAAAGAATGTTTTCTTCTGTGTTTAAACCTTTTCTTTAGTTCTTACAATAGTGGTCTTATACAGTATTTGTCCTTCTGTGACTGACTAAATTCACTCAGCATAAGTTCCAGCTTCCACCATGTTACATGTCCATGCACCTTATTTGCATTAGTAGTGTCTGTCTAATTTCCTTGGTTGGCCACAAGCACCTTATTTGCACAGTCCCAACCAATCATTGTGTGGTAGTCACAAAGACTATGGCTAGAAGGGCCATATTAAGTAATTCACTATACCTCAGGACTATTAAAAATATAGTAGCTTGGATCATAGTCCCGTAGCTCCTAAATCAGAATTTTCAGAAATAGAGCTCAGCCAAAATAGACATTTTGAGGAAGCTGCACTGGGAATTTTGGTGCATATCCCTGGGTAAGAACCAGTTCCCTAGACTCATTGGACCTCCTATCCTGTGGTGTTTCCTGTTGACTGCATTGTGGTATCAGAGATCCTTTAAAGTAGCTACCAAGATAAAACTATTGGGCTATGTTGACAAGTTGACCAGGATCTGAAGTGAATCTTTCAACCCCTCTTTGTGCTTCACCCATGTTTAATTGACAAAAGAAGTGTATTCAGTAGATTATTCCTGCTACTTTATAGGCTGAATATTCTCAGTGTTAACATTATGGCAAGTAGAAGGTGAAAGCTCGAAATTCAGTTACAACTTTATTTAACTGCCTCGGTTTTCCCAGGGTGATCAAGTTAAAGATAGTCAGAGAAGGCAAGGATAAAGTGGTTAAGAGAGGCCCCAACACAGTTGTAATGATTTCTAGCTCTATAGCTGCATGCTCAGTACACCAGTTCTTTTTATACCTAAAATTATATCAAACCCATAATGCTGGTGTTGCTCAGGGTGATTCACTAGGTTCTTTTACCTGTTACTCTACATATTCTGTATTTGCATGATCGTGACCTTATATTTTCATGTCTGCAAATACCCTGATGACTCTCTAATATAAAGCTATATATCCGATTATTCCATTGAGCTCCAGACCAATATGTCTAACCAGATGTTGGCATTTGAATGTCCCACGGGT